CACGTCACATGTCAAAGAGGAGGTCTCCCTCCGGTCAGTCTGTCTCTCCCTTCCTCTGTCTGTCCTCTCTGCCTCTCCCTGTTGCTGTCTCTATTTTAGCTTGCTGCAGCTCATATACTGTCTGTCCTCTCTCCCTAAGTTTCCCTGCTTTTTTTTTCTTTTCCCTTTCTGTCTCATCCTCTGCCTTTCTCTCTTTCTCTCCTCTCTTTCCCCCCCTCCCCCTGCCTACATTTGTATCTTCCTCTCTCACTGCAGTTTGATTCTCTGTTATTCACTTCCTATGTTTATCTCTGTCCCTCACTCCATTTCTCTCCAGTTTTCAAGTCTAAGTTTCTCTCAGCCATTCTGATTATTTTTCTCTCCTTATCTTTCTGCTGCACCCTGATCACTCTCTCTTTGTGTCTTCCTGGCTGTTTGCATCTCTTTCTCTTTTGGTCTCTGCCTCTGCCTATCTCATTTGGTCTCTCTCTCTCTCTCTCTCTCTCTCTCTCTCTCTCTCTCTCTCTCTCTCTCTCTCTCTCTCTCTCCTCACCTCGAGGGCATCTCAGGACTTGCCTGCAACTGGAAAGGACTCCACAACTCCATCTGCAGCCTCCACACCTCCACACCACACTCGAGGGAAAGATTCATCTGTTTAATCATGCACCTGTCCAACACCGTGGGAGGATGAGTAAGGGAGGCAGAGACAAAAGATATTTCACTGTCGCATTGTTCTTCAGGCGAGAGGCTCCTACACAGGTGCCTCTTAATATTCCAGCAGTGCCATCAGCCTTACCAAAGAGAAATCACTTCTTCTCGGCCTACCCCTCTGCAGAGCTAATCAATCTCCGTTAATAATGATCGTCTGTTGCTGGCACAGGGAGGAATGTGAACAGAGAAAGAATTCTAGGTGGGGGTCTCCAAACAGGGAGCAGGTAGGAGTTAACATTTTTTTTTTTATATGGAGGCAGGATAATGGCAAGGAAAGACCTACATGAAGACAGAGACTGTCCATTTTTTCTCTTCATGTATCCCAGCTCTTAGAACCTTGTGTGGTGTATAGAAGACACATACTAAATATATGAATGAATTAATAAATTGGGCAAATGAACGAATGAATGAATTGGTTTCAATTTTCCTTGTGCCAATACTTGCTGTGTTTCAGTGCACAAGTCAGTTTTGATTTCTCACCTGCAAAACGGGGATAATAACCATGTCCGCCCTCAGCACCCAATGTGGGAGAGAGGAGAGTCCCAGCAGAGCCCCCCTGCTTCCCTGATTCAAGGGCCCTGATCCCGCCTGACATCCTTGCCTGCCATCTGCAAAAAGCAGATCAGGAGCTACATGGGAATCTGAGGAGGCTGACATATCCCGCTCACAGGCCATCCTGAGATTTTTCTTGGCCATGAAGAGTTGGGAGTTTCCACCCCAATTTTTTTCTGGCTTAATTCTGCAGTATATTGAAAGGGTTCCAGCCAAGAGAGTTATTGTCTTCTCTTTGCCTGGATCTTAAATCTTTGTTGAAAGACAGCTTGTTTAAATTGGAAGTATTCCATCACTCTCTCCCTATCTCCCACTCACATCCCATTTCTTGACTCAGATCGGGCCATTGCAGTAAATAACCTGGAGTGAGGCCCTCAGGGGTTGAGGAATACGTAATGTGGATGGTGAGAGAAAGAAGTCTGACTCAAGCAACTCCCACCTTCAAAACACTGTCCTTTAAACTGGGCTTATTGAAAATGACCAGTGCCCCACAAAGGGATGGAGCAGCCCGGCTCCTTTTCTTTTCTTTCTTTCTTTTTTTTTTTTTTTTAAGAGTTGACTTAAAAAAAAATATATATATATAGATATATATATTATTGATGTTTTTATAGAGAGGAGGAGAGAGCAATAGAGAGCTAGAAACGTCGATGAGAGAGAAACATCAACCAGCTGCCTCTTGCACACCCCCCACCCGGGATGTGCCCACAACCAATGTACATGTCCCTGATTGGAATAGAACCTGGGACCTCTCAGTCCGCAGACCGACGCTCTACCACTGGGCCAAACCAGTTTCAGCCCAGCTCCTTCTCTTGTGGAGCTCAAGAGGACTTGTTTACACGGTGCCTTCCATGGTGGCTTCAGGTCTGTCTGTCACTGTGGGCTGGGGCGGAAAGGTCAGGCTTACCTCTTCCCCATTCATTTTTTTATTCCGTCAACACCCATATGTTAGTCTCACACTTCATCACAACAGCCTTGTGAGGCAGGCATCACTGTTTCCCTTTACAGATGAGTAAACTGAGGCTCAGGAGATTGGCTCGCTTATGTGAGGTCCCACAGTGCTCTAGTTCCCCTAGACTTAGTGTTTAAAACAAAAGCTATTCTCTTGTGTTGTCTGTGGCTCAGAAATTTTGGAAGGACTCAGCTGAGTGGTTCCAGCTTGGAGCCTTTGGTAGAAATGCCGTTAGACAATGTCTGGAGCTCAAAGAGCAGAGTGCTGCTGGAACTATGGACATATTTCTATCATAGTCTCTCACATAGCCTCAGGGCCTCTTCCTGCAGGCCCACCTTGGGATTGGGCTTCCTCACAGCATGGCAGCCTCAGGATTGCTTGCATAGTGGTTCAGGACCTCAGAGGAAGTATCCCAGTAAGCAAGGGGTAGGCTACATCACCTTTGATGACCTTGCCTCAGAAGTTCCACAGCGTCTGCCATTTGTTTTTATTACAAATGAGTCACAAGCCCACCTGCATTCAAAGGCAGGAGACATAGACCATATCTCTCAGTGGAAGGAGTGTCAAGGTTATAGCATATTGATAGAATAGCATCTGAGATGGAGCTACTATTGCAGACGTCTTTGGGAAATACAATCTGTCGTGCATAGCATGTGGCAGAGCCAGGATTTGGATTAGATACATCTGATTCCAAAACTTCTGCTGCAACTCTTCTACCCAGTCCTCAGTCCTTGCGGACCTCTCCTCCTTGCTGAGCCCCTGTAGCTCCTACTGTTAGCACACATAAGCATGACTTGCTCTCCTTAAGCTGCCAGCTGCCTCTGTGGGCCCTGGCCACCGTGAGGCTGCCTTCAGGGTCTGCTGGTTAGAGAGGCCATGCCAGCTTGTGAACTTTTTAAAGAAGGGGACAGAGAAAGCCGGTCAGATCCAAAAGAGGAAAGCAGGTGGCAGCCCCAGAGCACAGCGGGCGGGCGGCAAAGCGCCTGTCATAAACAGCTCATCCTGTGTTTTTCCTTCTCCCACCAGGCACTGGCCTGGGATGACTCAGCCCTTGACAGGAAAGGTGCTTTCAAGTTGGGAAAGAGCCCAGGGTTGTGGAAAGCTCGCAGTTCTGCAGGCAGACACTCCTGATTTTAGTCCTGACTCCAGCATCGCTGGTTATATGGCCTTGGACACGTCCTTCCCCTCCCAGAAAATACCTTCCTCACTGGGTTGCTTTGATGATCAAAATGCATATGTAAACCAAGTACCCAGTGCAGTGCCAGGCACATGCCAGGTGCTCCAGAAATGCCAGTGTTCATGTTCTGGGTCCTACCCAATCCCAACTCAAGGACTTTTTGAAGAAGGTGGAGCAAATTCACCTTCTGCAAAAGCTAATTTAGCTCCAAGACCCTGGATGGCACGGTGGCCGAGAATTCTCCTTGAAATAACAACTACACTGAGTTGTCTGAAGGCTGAGAAGGAATCGGCCCTGTAATCCCTGTGGAGGGAGAGTGGTATAGGAAGACAGAATGGTGTAGGCAGAGACCCGGAAGGGGGAAAGTTCAGTATTCCTGCAGTGTGAAGGGCAAGGAAGGGGGTAGATGTGGGGAGGTAGCAAGCACAAGCCAAGAAAATAATCAGGGACCCAATTATGAAGGATCTTGTAAATAAAGTCCTCAAATTTGAAATTTAAAGGCAATTGGGAGCCATTGAACAGTTTTATTCCGTTGGGTGACATGGTCAAGTCTGTGTTTTAGAATAGCTCCCTGACTACATTGTAGAAAATGGGTGGAGACAGGCAGTCAGGACAGGGTACAATAAGTCAGGGGAAAGGCCATACTGGCCTTGCCTAGGAGGATAGCTGGAGACTGGAGACAAGGGAAAAACTCAGGAGATAGGAGGTCTCATGGAGAATTGGTGGCAGTTTGGATGTTCTGAGCTGAGGGGCATGAGCTAAGTAATAAGTGCTTGGAGTGAAGTCAGTTCAGAAGCCATGGAAATATGGGGCAAGGGGAGAGAAGTGTCATGGAAGGTTTTGCTAAAGAGATATCACCCAATTGAAGATTTGATAGGTATAAATTAGTGAAGGGAAGAGAGAGGAACTTCAGGAAGAGGAAATAGCTCATGTGAAGGCCCAGTACTATGAGATAAAATGCACTGAGCATATATTCTGTGTAGTTGAATAGATGATTACTGTACTAATTTATACTAAAGTGTTAATGGACACTGTGGTCCCTAGGGAGTTTGTATTTTAATATAACTCTAAAGATTTATTATTGGTAGTTTTCAAGGTGGCATGGGGACACTATGTAGGATGAGAGGGTTTTGCCATTATCTCTGTGATTACCAAAGAAGGAGACAGATCTCTGAGGGTCAGGCAGGCCCTGCTCTACATACAACAAAGAGTATCTTGCTCTTGGGTCTTATTATCAGCCTCTTGATATACCTGACGCCACACTATAGAAGCCTAGTTATTCCCAAAGGGACTCACTATATTCTGAAAGCTATGAACACAGTCTTTGGGATAAGACTATTTAGACCCATAACATGGGTCCTCCCCTTCCCAGTTCGGTGGTCCTGGGCAAATTATAACCTCTGTGCATTTGCTTCCTCATCTGTTAAATGAGGAAAATATTAGTATCTACCACTTAAGGTTTTATACAGATTCCAAAGATTGTTTCTACAAAAAGTGTTGAGTAGTGAGTGATACAACTGTTTTTAATATTGTAACCCATTATACTAGAAGATTGTGCAGGTCAGTGGCTGTGTCAGTCTTACTCTGTGTCAGTCTCTTTTCCAAGTTACTCCTTAATGCACCCACTTGCAGATATGAAGCTGGGGCGGAACGTGGCCAGGACGTTTTTGGATTATTATCGGCTGGACCCCATGGCTGAGAAAATGGCGATTCCCATGCCAAGGCTGCGGTAAGTGGCCGAGCAGAGCAGTGTGGTCTGGAGTCCTGCTTTGTGGGCTTCACGTTCAGAGGCAACTTCCCTTAGCCTCTCTCCACCCTCGATTTCCCATCGGTGGCACAGGAAAGAAATCCCAGCCCTGCCACAGAGTGTGTATGGGAAAGAAGAGCTTAACAGAGTATTTCCTGAGTATAAAGTATTATATGGGGCCGGACAATGAGGGGTGGTCACATTTCATGGGAGTCTGTAGGGATGGGCTTACGGGGAGCCGAGTGCAGTCATATTCTAACTTAGTCTGGTGGTACCATTTGCTTCTTCATCTGATTGCTCATCCTCAGCGACTCCTATGTCATCCAGGCTCCTAAAGTGCCTTATCCTTCCATTTCCTCATCCATAAAGTCAGACAGGAGCACTCAGTTGGAAGATTATCATACACATGTCCCTTCGGTGCATGGTAGTCCCCTTCCCTCAAGACACAAAGGTTCAGGGCTGGAGGGGACAATCCCCTGAGAAGGTTCGGCTCAGGCACTCCACTGGGGCAACTTCTTAAGCCAGTGAGGAGAGACGTCAGGAGATGAGTATTCTTCCTGAGGGCTAGATACGAGCGCAAAACACTGGGCATCACCACACTTGCTGGAAGTGAGCCCAGTGAGCATTTGGGCATCTGGATTGTGCAGCCTCTGCCCTACCTCTTGGATTCATTTCCTACTTCCTTTATGGTCCAGCCTCCTTGAAGGACATGAAGATGTATAACTTACTGCTCCTACCAGACCAGTCTTCCCACAGTCCTTGCCTAAGATCTTGACTATGTGCTTGCTGCCTCGGGGCCTTTCCACCTCCCTCCCTGATACACTTCCCTCCTTATCTAATTATTAACAACAACAACAAAAATCCTATAGTGATCATTGTTCTTTATTGAGTGAAGTAATTGCTGTCCCTGATCCTATTTATTAATTCATTGTAGATGTTATATACTCCATATTGCAAATGAGGGAAAGAGAGCTCAGAAAGGTGAAATGAATTGCTTGAGGTCAGAGAATTTTTGTCAGAGCCAGAATCTGATCCTAGACTTGTATGATTCCAAAGCTAGACTGAGGCTCAGCTAAGTTCCACCTGGAAAGTGAGGGTTCAAATTCTCTGAGGCTTATTCTAACTGTGGGGCCTCTCAAAACCTTTCTCTATTTATCTATAAAGTTGGGGTAATAACAATGACCTCTAAAGATGGTTTTAAAGATTATATACAAGCGTGTTTGTGTCTGGCAGCCAATAGATGGTCAATAAATGCTTCCATCTCCTCTGATTTCTACTGTGTTTCCCTGAAAATAAGACATCCTCTGAAAATAAGACCTAACACATGGAAAGATAAGACATCTCCTGAAAATAAGACCTAGCGCAACTTTGGGAGAAAAAATTAATATAAGACACTGTCTTATTTTTGGGGAAACAGGGTAGTTTGCAGTCCCAGATTTCCAAAAGACTCTTCATGGTCTAGATAAGACCCTGGCCTTCTCTGGTTGAGCTGGATGATTTCTCAAGGCCACGGTTAAACAGTGTTGTGAGTCATTAGCCCTGAGCCCCAGCTGCATGACAATGTACTCTGACTCATAGTCAGTCTCAGATTATTCACCAGTCATGGGGCTCTTTGTGCACACACACCTCCCCCCGCACATCCTGGGAGAAGATTACATTTATTTCTTCTCTGTGCTCCCACATTGTCTAGACTGTACTGAGTGTGCATTTTCCTATATTCATTCATTTAGGCAGGCAGTCATCCACTTAGGAAAACAGCACTTTATGCAAGGGCTCTGGGGAAAGGATGAAGCTAAATGTATAAATGATGAAGGCATGACCCTATCTTGGAGGGGCTCACCTCTAGAGAAAAGTACTCAGTTCTTTCTTAAAGGTCATTCTTGATTGGTTAAAGTTCTTAAAATTTTAAAGGTTTATAAAACTCAAAAGAACTCTTAGAATCTTATTTGCAAGTTAATTTGAGGATTCTTTCTCTCAGGTTTTCTCTCAGCCTGAATGAAATTATTTTGATCCTTAACCACTTTTTTCTTGCATGTTGCATTGTATCAGACCCATGGAATGGGGCTGACTGTCAGGAACTTTAGCAATTATCCAGGACCCCTCCTCAGGATATGAATGAGGAAGACGGGCTAGTCAGATGCAAGACTAGAGTCTCCTCAGCATCAGTTTGTGAAGAATTATTTGACTTGGGGAGGGGGTTGAAACCTGGTATAAATGACTCAGGGAAGTTCTCAGCACCCTGATTTCACTGTTCATGGAAGCCCCCTGCCCTGAGCTTTGGAGCCCTCTTTAGAAAACAGTGGGAGAATTCATTCTTCAGAGTTCAAAACCTTGAGGACTTAAAGCAAATGCACCCACCCTTAAATGAAGAAAAACAAAAATAACTCCCTCTCCATCCCCGCACTGCTGACTCATCAAACCATGAATATCCCTTAGCTCTCAACTGGTCAGAAACTCTTTAAAAATGAATTCCCAGGAGGACAGAAGGCTCTGACTTGGGATTTGAATAGTTCCAGTTTCTTGCATTATTTTCCACTCAAGCATCAAATAGCATAAGCAAAAGAGCAGTTCTGGTTCTAAAGGAAAATTACATGTTTTGACTCAAAATCAATCGTTGTTCTCTCTCATCTCTCTGGATAATTAATATAATATGTCAGCTTTGAACCTTGTGCTGACAGAGCATGTCAACACCCCTGGGTCCTAGGCCATCACTAAGAAAGGGTGCCTGAGGATGGCCAACAAGGTAGGCCTAAGAGATCAAGCCTAGAGATGTGGTGTTGATGACCAAAACAGACCCCACACTTGACGGGACCACAGTGACAGTCACAGGGCTAAAGATCAAAATGCACCATCAAGATGCATGAAAGAAAATTAAATAGAAAACATGACCAAGCCAGGTGAGCCTCAGCAAGGAGACAGCTCTGCCCTCAACCCCTATATGCCAGAGCCTATGAGGCAGGAAGGAGGTGGGCTCTTCTTATTATTTTATTTTATTTATTTTATTTATTTATCTATTTATTTATTTATTTATTTATTTATTTATTTTATTGATATTTTACAGAGAGGAAGAGAGAGGGATAGAAAGTTAGAAACATCGATGAGAAAGAATCATCTATCAGCTGCCTCTTGCACACCCCCTACTGGAGATGTGCCTGCAACCAAGGTACATGCCCTTGACCGGAATCGAACCCGGGACCTTTCAGTCTGCAGGCTGAAGCTCTATCCATTGAGCCAAATCAGTTTCGGCATCTTCTCATTATTTTAGAAATGAAGACGAGGAAACTCAGAGAAGGGAAAGGCCTTCTTCAAGGTCACATTGCCTATGAGCAGCATTCTAAGCATGTGCTCCAGGCTTTCAATGGAAACGAAGGTCAAGCTGTGTCTCACCAGGCTAGACAGTCTTGCCATGTTGGCAAGAGCCTTCTGTGAGCAACAGCCAGGCATTCTGGTTGGGACATGGGGTGTTAAAACACGGTGTCCCTTTCGTATGCTACCTCCTCTTGCATTTACCTTACTTCTGAGTCATCAGCAATGAAGGAAAATGGCTCTTCCAAGGTCATAGCATAGAGGACTACAGGAAGACACTTCTTCCGTCCTAATTCAGATACAACAAGAGATTGCCCTCCTCATGCCACTTACCACTTTCTGCCATGCACTATAGTTCTTTATTATTCTGTGTATTTTGTTCAGTTTTCTCCTTTACTAAACTTATGCAGCCCCAAAACAGCATCAATGGCTGACTCATTTTTGGACCATACCTAGCACCAGGCACCCTGCTTTTGTAAGTTACAATTGGCAAGGAATGACAGTAGGTATGTTTACTCATGTTGTTTAATTTAAAGTCACAATGCCCCTCCTGGATTGGAATATTTTATCCCCATTTTACAAATGTAGCTCAGAGAAGTTAAATAACTTTACAAGGTCACATCTCTCATATATAGCAGTCCTAGGAATTCAGTTGAGTTCTGGCTCTGAAGCTCACTCTTTTCACTGGGAATCAATCTTAGTCTGAAGCATGAATGAATGGCACACCAACTTATCAGTCACAACATAAGGCCCTGCATGAGGGAAAATGAAGAAATGTAACAACTTGGTGCCTGCCCACAGGGAGCTCATAGCCTATAGTGTGTGAGCAAACCAGACAGTGGATTATTAACCGAAAAGTGATATTAAGGGTATTGCATTGAGTGCTGCCTGCTGGCTACTGGCTGCTATGACACAGGGGTGAACCAAACACATCTCTGACTTCCAAGAGCTCCCAGTCTGTGGGGAGATGGACCCATCTTGAAATTTCTTAATCAGGCTGTACTAAGAAATATAAAGAGGGCTCTGGATCTCAAATGCTTGTGAAGGGAATGGGTCCTAGGCTCTCTCAAGCCATAACCCTTCTATGTGTCCACCCTCATTTCATTGTGAATGGATAGAATGAGGAAGAATCAAGGTAGAAACGTGGAAGAGTTGAGCTGTAGAAAATTAGATTTCTTCCAGAACCAGAACTATGTGTTCATCCATCCATCCATCCATCCATCTAACCACTATTCATTTAACCATTGTGCTTGCTTTGAACCATGCCCTGGGTTGGGTTCCCAGGACAAGACAAGGCCACTGTTCCCAGGAGGTCCCAGTCCAATGGGGAAGATAGACATGCACACTAATGATTTCTTATGGTGTGTATATGTGCTGTCCTTCTCTCTTTCTGTCATCTACCCCTTTGCAGGAAAGAAAGACCCCCTCCCTACAAGTACCCAATCCGGCGGGGCCTGGCCAGCAGCTATCCCATCAGCAAAGGGGACAAGAAGAGCTCAGTGAACCACAAAGACCCTTCAAACGCTTTTTAAGGACATGAGGTCCTGGGAGGTCTTGTGGAGCATGCATTATCACTAACATTAATCTCCTTCTAGTTTCCAAAAGAAGGGTTGTGGGATAAGGAATTAGCTAGTGAAAAGGAAAGGGGGAAAATGAGAAATTTCATCATTGATTTTCCCTTTTACCAATGGAAAAATCAATTGTAAGGCTTCAGCTTACAGCTCAGGAACAAAACAGGAGATGCAAACCAGGCGAGTACAGTTCCCTTTCCCACCACATAGAGATTCTCACGGGAAGAGAAAAACCTGCACGACCCTTTGAGAGGTTGGTCAGAAGTCTGTGCTCTCTAGCCCTTTCCCTGTTGAAGTTGTACAGTAACCACCTTTGAGAATAAACTCTAGTTGTTTATAGTTTTAGAAAAGCTGCGCCCATATCTACTGATCCAAAGCAACATCAACAACACATGCAACCCAAAGACCCTTGCACTGCTGGGAATAATGGGACAGAGTTTTTGAAATTACAGTGGTCTCAGACATTCAGTCACTTTATCTATGAGTTGTGTGCTCTCTGACTCACCCAAATCCCAGCGTGCAACATTAGAAAACTGATCCAAGAGCTATTTCCCAATGGGCTGGGTGGTTTAATTGAGAATTTAGCTCCAAAGGCAAAAAAAAGTATTGGTCACACAATCTTCAGATTCTGGTGTCACAGATCCAGCCTGGCCACCAAGAGGCAGGCATTTACAGTCTGAAAGGGGGGAAGGCTGATGGCCAGGTAGGGGAGATACAAAAGACAAAAAGATGCTCTCGCAGGCAGGTGGGGGTGGTAAAATAAAACAACAGCAGCAGCAATTCCCAAGGTGAGGCAAGCTTAATGTTGTGCATTTTTCTAAAGAGTCAAGTGCCTTTGTATGATGAATGGGACCCGGAGAGTCTGCTCCCTCCCTGTTGGAGAAGCAGCAGGCTGAGTCACCACGACAGCCTGCTAATTAAAGTGACCTCCCGGAAATGAGGATTAGGAGGTAGGGAGAGGAAGGGAGGCTCCAGGGAGATAGGGCCTTTAGCACAAAGCTCCAGTTAAGCACTTTTTTGCTTTGGGTTGAAGATTTTCTAAGTTGGATGCAAAAAAGTATGAAGAGCAAAGAGTGTTCTTCTTTTGCTTATTGGTTTTCAGAAATTATAACAAACAACCATATGTTTGCTGGCTACAAATGTTGTGTTGTGTATACAGCTTTTCCCCAGGGTGCTCGTTGCCCAGAGGAACACAAATAAAGTGGTTGATGCAGCTCTCCTGTCCCTCTGAGTATTCTTGGCACCTTTCCCTTTAGGTCTTCCATTCCTTTGAGATTCAACCAGACAACCTCACTTTGTGGTCAGGGACTCTATAACCAAGATAAGGAAGAACGATTGAAACTTAACTTTCCAGCAGTTGCCATGTCAGAGTCCTGGAAATTTATTTGACTGCAACCAGCTCAACATGAGGCAACAGGGTGGCAGGCCCTTCAGAAAGGATAGCTTCTCTTGAGGCAGCATAATCTGAGGCAAATTGCATAAAGTAAGGGAGGTGATAGTCCAGATATATTTTCCCCTGGTCAGACTGTTTCTATATGTTGTGGGCCCCACTTTTAAAAATCGCTTTGATTAATTGGATCATAGGCCTCTCAAGCAGCGATTGTGTTCGTAGTTTATAAGCAAAACACATGGAGCCAGGCAACTCTAGGTTTTGATTCTGCATCCTAACACTGGTTCTGTCTCTTAATATCTGGGTGATCTTGGGTATGTTATTGAACCTTTCTGAATCCTAGTTTTCTCACCCATAGGATGACAATAGTAATGTCTATCTCATTATGTAGGCTTAATGAATTTGGGTGTAGGAAATGACAAGAAAAGGTGCTCAATAAATGATAGCTATGCTACTGATAGTATAACTAGGATGAATGAGTTGTCTGTAAATCATTTTCCATTAGAAATGGAAGAGGAGACTGAAGCTGTTTGTCCTTGAGACAAAAACCTAAGAGGGAACAGAAGTAGGAAGGAAAAATGACAATTTGTATTTTGGACATTCTTTTTGTCCAAAAGAAGCAAACAGATTCAGGGAAGTAGTCTTAGTAAGATGGATTTTAGGTCCAAATGAGGAAAACTTTCTAATGAAGAGAGCTGTCAATCATTGGATGAGCTCCCATGGAAACAGGGAGCTCCCCATCACCAGAGGTATGCAAGCAGAGTCTGAATAAACATTTGTCATGGAGGAAATGAGGGACTCTTCTCTAGGGGGATGCTGGATGCTCTGCAGCATTGCCTTCTAGTCTGTAACTCTGAAATGACCTGAGGCAGGAGGTTACATAACTGATGTCAGAGAATGGATTATGCAGTATGAAAAATATCTTTTAATGCTAAATGAGTGTCATAAAATGTCTCTAAATTACAGCATATGGATTCCATGAACATTTAGCATTCCTTTAGTCCAGCAATTTCCAGCTGGTATGCCATGGCACAAGAATTTTAAAACATGCAGTATCTGACTATTTAGTCAGGGGCACTGACCTCTTTTCCCTTAGATTGTCAAATAAAAGAATGACAACAGCCAACACAACAATAGTTGTCTGGTGTGAATGAATCAAAATCATTCCTAATTTGGGGGGGGGGGGGTCAAATCAGCAAAAAGTATAATATAATTTTTGGAGTGCACAGAATTTTATTAATTAGTTTATGTGCACCATGAGGTGAAAAGGGTTGAAATTGCTGCTTTAGAGGAAAAAAATATATGGATATAAGGCCAACTGTAGGATATTTTTGCAATAGTACTGTCTGCTTCTTCACATTGGAAAAGCAGAGCAAAAAAGCCTGAAAAAAAAGAGGGGTTTCAAGTGGACCTCCTGAGACCTTGGCCTGCTCAGCAACTTCCTAGTTTTTCTGGACCAGGTTATACCCATGATCTCAAGTTAGAGGAGAAGGGTTTCAGCACTGAGATGAAGGACAGCACCAACCCAAGGGACTATTGGGATCAAACAGACAATGGATGCAAAGGCCTCTAATGCAATGCCTGGCACACAGTAAATTAGGTCAATACATGTTTGGTAGATGTATGAATTGATGCTCAATGAAGGTTAATCACTCCAGATTTCTATGGTTGGCACTGTTCTTACAACTTAAGAAAATAAGTTGGGGTCCTCTTAGGCAAGCCTCAGAGGTGCCATTGAATTACCTTGAAAGGATAAAGCCCATCCTGTGCCCCTCTCCTATTCAAAGACAATAGGAAAACTAGCTAATGACCCCCTGCTGCTGCTGCTGCTGCAACCAAGCTAACAATATCATCAAGGCTGGAACCCAGCCTCTGCTGTGGCCTTAACACAAGAATGGGGGGTGGGGGGGGGGGCCTCTTGCTTGCTTATTGCAGTTTTTGAGGCTAAACAGACCTTCAGTTCTGTCTCTAAGCCTCTGGACTGATGCCAAAATTAAACAAACAAACAAACAAAACAACAACAACAAAACACACAACCCTAGCATTGTTTATAAAGGGTTATGTGAGAGCAAGGTAGAGGCCCAGCACGTCCCTCCTCCCTCCACCCTTCCTTTTTGTACAGTTGTCTTCTTCTCTCTCCTCAGAACAGTGGTTGGTAGCAGATACTACTACCCTTTATAGCTGCTTGTGGCTCTATCCTGAGAAGGAACTGGGCAGGCGAGATGAGAGACTAGAGCGCCCCCTGCTGGGTATCAGCAAGCAACACTGCCTGGCTTTGTGACATTAAGTATATCTCACCCTGTCTGAAGTTACCCCAGAGCTTCAACTGACTTCAATTTCTTACTCTTTGATACGGTGACACCCCCAGGCAACCTACTCCCAAAGGTACTATGAGGCTATGATGAGAGGATGAAATGGGAAAGTACTTTATTTAAAAAAGCATTTCTCAGTATTTTCTCATAAAGTCCCCACTTGGTCCACTTTTTGCCTTTGACCTGGATTGCCCTGTCACAATCATCCAACAAAATGCATTAAACATCTTGTGTTTGTTAAGCGCTTCCCATTCCTCTCTGCAGCCCTGCTTTCTACCTATCCTTCAAGACCTCCCTTCAGGAAGTCTTCCCTGACCTCCCAGCTCTCACAAATAACTTTTCCTCTGGGCTTTTAAGAGAACTCTTATCTAAACATTCATTTTTTGGGACTTAGAAATGGCTTTGGTATTTCACTTTTCCTGGGTATCAGCTTTGTTTTCCCAACTCAACTTTGCATTGTTTTGGGAGCATGATGATTAGAGATGGCAAAAATCAGTATAATTCACTGCTCAGATCCCAGGGCCCTACAAAGGCCAGGCAGAGGATAACCATTCTGGGGAGTCTTCATGTATTGCTGATGCAACACTGATGGGAATGAGGTGGCTGCTTTAGCAGAATATTTCTGTAAGATGGACATCCCTCCTCTTTCTGCCTTTGGATGTTTCTAAACAAGGGCAACCCCCTGGGCAAAGTGGAACAAATCTAGCTTGCAGGCCCATATACAAAGTTGTCAAACTTTAAAGCTAAATGCATCCATGGGAGAGAGACAAAGAGGGGAGACAGATGAGGAGAGGTTGGGAGAGGGTGACAGATAATTGACTGTGCTGGATCTGAGTGTAAGTGTGCATGTGTGTGTGCATACTAGCCTAGTTGTATTATGTATGAGGCTTTTGTAACTTCTTTATATTTGAGTGTGAAAATGCATGAGTGTGTGTACCAGTATTTGTGAATGCTTTTGTGTGCACATCACTCAGTATTAGATGACAGATCATTGTTGATTCTAAGCATGTTTTCACTTCAACTCCTAGTCAGAGGTCCTAGGTTTCGTTTTTGTTTGAAATTCTATCTTCTCTGTTGACATCTCATCCATATTAATGGGTCACCCCTCTGCCCAGCCTCCCTGGACGGTGCCCAACGGGATGTCAGGGCCACCTCTCCTGCCCAGCCCCAGTGGAGGCTGATGCTAATTCTATCCAGCCAGACCCTTGGTGGACAGCTCACCCAGAGCCCCTTTCCTGACTGCTAGCTGGTGACCTCATGTTCACATCTCTTTCTGGCATCTCTTTGTATTCCTGTTTCTCTCTCTCCTTCTTCACACCCCTCTGGACTACAAGTTAAACCAGCAACTGTGGCGTGGTGTTATGAAGGGAGCGGCTGCTCCCCTTAACACCCCGATACCTTTCCATTCTGCTCCTGGGAGACAGATGCTGTGGTTTCAGATGTTTATTTCTGCTCAGTTTTAGAAGTGCTCACTGAAGGCCTGCTCTCCACTGGGCTGAGCTCTGGGTGGTGGTCAGAATGGTGGGTACACGATTGTGAATAAACACCTCATTGCTCTGGTCCATAGACCAGCTTCAGGAGGCTTGACACTTAGTGTTGAAATGTAAATACACAGGATGGGGACTTTCAAAAATCAAACCTTGTTCATCCTGCTTGCCTTAATTTGTTCTTTAGTAAGTTCACTCATTTATCTATTCATCCTTTCTTTCTTTTGTTCATTTGTTCATCACCCTTAGGCAAGCTATGTGGTGCTAGGAAGAGGGCTAACCCAGAGGCCTGGATGTAAGCCTGATTCAGCTGCTGTCGTATTCCTCCTAGAACTTCAATTTCCTCACCTAAGGATGGAATTAAGAATGATTATCTTCCTAACTCACAGGGTGGCTTCAGGAACATCAAGGAAATGGGTGTAGTGGGGAGAAGGAACATATATTCTCTGCAAACATCCATCCTACAGCCACACAATAGGAAGAGGATAAGGGCTAGGGATGGGGACTCAAAATGATCCGTTAGAAAGAGTTTGAACTGGAAGCAAAATATCTGGAATTTAATCCCAGTCAACTAGCATTTATATAACTTTAGAAAAGTCACTCTCCCTCTGCTTGTTCATTTATAATACGAGCCTATCTAAGTAGGTGATCACTAAGGAATCCTACAGTTGTGCCATTTCGGGGTTCTAGGACTCCTCCCTACCCAGTTGCCTACCCTGCAGGATGGTCTCAAATCTACCTTGAAAAGTATGTCAGGTTGCTATACCCTAATGCTGTGGGCAAGATGTCTAGTTAGTAATTTTTTATTCTCAGCTCAGCAACACTGGTGCCGGCTTCCCAAGGATTCTCTCTGTCCTCAGACCTGACGCTGAACCAGAGACCACTGGAGAGATGAGACCAGCAGGTGACATGGCAAACCTTGCATACAGAAGGTGCAGTGTTGTTGAAATAATTAACATCACTGTGTAGTTGACACCAGGGAACACCCCTGAGCTGGCAGATAGAATAAATAAAGCAATATTTTATCTTAAGTGTTGGTTAACAGTAACACAGAGACTTATGAATTATTTATTATACTAGAGGCCAGGTACATGAAATTTGTGCACTTGGGGTGGGGGAGGGGTGGTCCCTCAGGTTGGCCTACACCCTCTCACAGTCCGGGAGCCCTCAGGGGATGTACAACTGACACAGAGACAGGAGAGGCTCCTGCCATCGCCAATGTGCTTGCCAGCAGTGAGCCCGGCTTCTGTTTGAGCAGCACTCCCCCTATGGGAGCACACTGACTACCAGGGGGAAGGGCCA